TTTCTATAGGATAGAGGGGGCAAAATTCAGATTGCAAGAAGTTAAGGAATAAATGGGCGGTAAGGAAGTTGAGACCAACTGTGAACTTTTGCTTTTTTTGTGACAGAGAAATATGGGGGAGAGAGAATTAGGATGCTACATTCAGGATGGGTTGGAGGGTCAAGGTTTTTGTTTTTGTTTTGTTTTTTTAAGATATGGAAGCTAGGAACTTATTTGTAGGCCAAGGAGAAAGAGCTTAATGGTGCTTGTGATGAGGAATCATTGATAAAGCAAGATAATAGAGGAAACAGGAGGAAATGGAATCAGGGGTATGGTGGAGGGGTTAGCTTTGGAAAATAGTATGACCTGCTTTTCCTTTGAGATTGAGTAAAAAGAATGGAAGAGGAGGACACTGAGAACTTTAAAGGAATACTAGAAAGGGAGCTGATAGAAATCATCTGCTGGGGATGGGGAGGGAATGATATTATAGGCTTAAGGAGGGAAGAAAACATTAACAGCTGAATAAAAGGATTGCCACATTGAAGTTACATAGGGTAAGTTTGTTGGTCAGCTTACTTTTGTGATTTTTCTCCTGCATTGTTCAATTGCTAGGGAATTGGAGTGGAGTAGGCAGGTAGTTGAATTGGCTAGAATTGAGTTAGCAAGTTAGGAATGCCAGAAGGTCAAGGGAGCAAGAGATTGAAGTATGGGTAAGAGGACATTATTGAAATGGCTGACTATAGAATCAGTACTGAGTATGAAAAATTTCCATTGATCTCTTAATTATCAGATCTCATGGTCTTAGCCCTCATCCTCTTCATCCTTCTCAACCTATCTGCTGCATTTGACATTTAACCATCTTCTCCTTTCTGGATTTTCCTAACATTACTCTCTCCTTTTTCTCCTTTTACCTGTCTCGCTGCTTCTTCACAGTCTTCTTTGCTGGTTCGTCCTCCATATCACACTCCATAACTATGGGTGTTCCCTAAGATTCTGTCCTAGGCCCTCTATATTTTTTGAGTAGCTGTGTCAGCTTGCATGAATTTAATTATCATCTCTAAACAGATAACTCACAGATATATGTAATGTATATATTAAATATATAATTATATGTATTTAATATATTAAAAAAAACCCAAAAACCTTGACCCTGCAACCCATCTCCAATGTAACATCCTAACTCTCTCTCCCCCCCACATTTCACTGTCACAAAAACTCACAGATATATATATAGATATAGATATAGATAGGCTTCAGTCCTGTATCACAGATTGTCTGTTGGACTCTCTGGATGTCCCAGAGATATCTCAAATTTAACATGTCCAAAACTGTACTCTTTATTTTTGCCCCTCCCTCTCCAACCTTCCCTTCTTTCAAACTTTGCCATTCTTGTCGAATGCACCACCATCCTTCTGTCGTCTCAGGTTCTTAATGTACGCATTTTCTTGGTCTCTCCCTCGCCCCATGTATCCATGATACTGCCAGATAAATATTGCTGCTAAAGTAATTTTTCCTTCAACACCTACCTGATCATGTAACTCCGCTATACAGCCAACCCCAGGGCTTCCTGTTGCCTAGAGGACAGAGGTTCTTAACCTGGGATACGTGAACTTTTAAAAAATACCTTAATGTCTTTACTAATTGATTTTTTTATATCAGCATAGTTTCTTCTAGTATCTTTCCCTCTTCCCCTCCCAAAGAACCATCCTATATAACAAATAGTATGTTTCTAAAGACCAAGTGGGGGAAAGGAGCAACCATAAATTAATTAATGTTTCAGGCACTCTGCTAAGCACTTTACAAATATTATCTAATTTGATCCTCACAACAATCTTGGGAGGTAAGTGTTATTATCCCCACTTTACAAATGAGGAAACCAAAGTTCACAGGTTAAGTGACTTATCCAAGGTCTCACAGCTAGCCAGTATCTGAGTCTGAATTTGAACTCATGTCTTCCGTTCCAGGCCTTTGACTCTATCCATTGCATCACCTAGCTGCCTAGGGGGGGAAAAAATGGGAAAAAACTGATCAGTACATGAGAAAAATTTGAAAATATATACATTGTACAGCATTTGTGACCTTTTACTTCTGCAGAAGGGCGGGAAGGTACTATCTTCTCAAATCTATTCTTTTGTGTTCTTTGCACACAACACTACATCTCCTGTCTCCCTGCCTTGGTACTTGTCTACCCACATACCTGGAATGTATTCTCTCCTTATTGCTTCATGGTGTCTCTCTCTTCCTTCAAGACATAGCTCAGTATTCCCCAATTGATAAATGGACAAATGATATGAATAGCCAGTTTTCAGATAAAGAAATCCAAGCTATCAAAAGCCATATTAAAAAAATGCTCCAAATCACTAATAGAGAAATGGAATTTAAAACAATTCTGAGGTGCCACCTCATATCCATCAGATTGGCAAAGCTGACAGAAAATTAAAATGATAAATGCTAGAGGGGCTATGGAAAAACAGGTAAATAAATGCATTATTGATAGAGCAATTTGGAAGTATGCCTCAAAAGCTATTAAACTATGTATGTCCTTTGACTTACTGATATCACTTCAAGATCTATACCCCATAAAGATGAAATAAAGAGGAAAAAGACTCATATGTACAAAAATACTGACAGCAGCTCTTTTAATTGGAAACTGAGGGGATACCCATCAATTTGAGAGTGGCTGAACAAGTTATGATATATGAATGTAGAATATTACTATGCTGTAAGAAATATGGAGAGGGTGATTTCAGAGAAACCTGTGAAGACTTGTATGAATTATTGATACATAGTGATAAGAACCTGGAAAACAATGCATATAGTAACAACAATATGGTAAAGACAAATAACTTTGAAAGATTTAGGAACTCTAATCAACCCAATGATCAATTACAATTTCAAAGGACTCATGATTAAGCATGCTACACACCTCCAGATAGAGAGATGATGGACTCGAGAGTGTAGAATGAGATGTGTTTACACACACACACACACACATACACAAACACAAACACAACCAATGTGGCATTTCTTTTAGTTTTTTATACATGTTTAGGTTTTTTTTCCCTTGATTTCTCAGTTGGAAGGGGGTAGTAGGTAGGAGGAAGAGTATAAGGACCTGAAAATTAAATAAAAAAAAATATGGCTCAGATACTACCTTCTGCATCAGGCGTACCTTGTAATTTAAATGCTTTGTATATATTTGTGTTCATTTTCCATTTAGGCTATATGTATTAATATATGTACTTGTTTTATTCTCCCCTTAGATTGTAAGCTCCTTGCAAGAATTGTTCATTCTTGTACTTGTACCCCCAGTGCCTGGAACATAGTAGATACTTAATACTGTTGATTAATTGAAGAGAAGTGACGCCAGAATAGGATTTATAAAGTAGAAAATAGGGAAAAATTGAGGTACTGACAACTCATGGTAAAGAGGAAGGAAAAGGAGGGAGGGAGGCTTTATTAAGCGGCTACTCTATGCCAGATACTATGCTAAGCACTTTTACAAATGTCTCATTTGATCCTTACAACAACTCTGTGTTATTAATAATCTTTATTTTACAGTTGAGGAAAACTGAGGCAGACAAAGTTTACATAGCTAGTTGCATACCTAGTAAGTGTCTGAGGCTTTATTTGAGCTCAGGTCTTTTTAACCCCAGGCCAAATGCTCTATCCAATACACTACCTGGCTGCCTACAAGAACAAGTATGAGAGAAATAAGGGAGCAGGAGAAACAAAAGTACAGCTGGTTATGGTCAGAGAGGGGAATTTCAAAGTTAAAGATCTTGGAGACTTAGCAGTTTGGTGTAATGGTGAGATCTCAAGTTGGTCATTGCAGTGTGTGTATGGCTGCAATAAAATGAATGGAAGATGAGAGTCATAGGATTTAAAGGGTTCAATGAATTGTGAGGATATGGTGTTAAAAGGCCATTGAATATCTTGTGAAAAGTCATTAAAAATGAAGAGCTATTTAAAAAAAAGTCATTGGTGAAAATATTGGAAGCCTTCCAAGTTGATGGCAAGAGAATAGTTGGAGGTAAGGACTATGAAGCAGATGCCAAAGTAGTGGAGAAAGGTGGAAGAGTATCCAGGAGGTTAGTTGATGACAATAATAAGGACCTGAAAGAATGCTGTGTTTGGCGTTAGAGGACCCAATTTTCATTCTTGACTTACTTGATCTTGGGCAGGCCACTTCTCCCTGACTCTCAAATTCCTCACCTATAAAATGGGCTAGGATCATAATATCTGAGAGATCTACCTTATTACCCATCATAAAGATCAAATGAGATGATATATGTAAAATACTTTGTAAACTTTAAAGTTTACAGAATAAGTGTGTTCCTTTTTCTGAATAGGCCTTTAAGTATTTGAAGATGACTGTCATGTTTTCCATTGATCTTCTCTGAGCCTCAGTTTTCACATCTGAAAAATAAAAGTGATAATATATTTTATGGAATTTTATAGAACTTTATAGAATTGTTTATGTTGTTTATGAAGTGCTTTGTAAATTTTAAAAGTATGTTATTTTTATTGTTAGCTTCATCCAAACTAAACATTCCTAGTTCCTTTATTCTTTATTTGAATTAAATAGTTTAGAGTCTGTCAGTGGAGACCTGGTCTGTGGAAGCTTCATTATATTTACCTCTGGCCCTTGTACCTATTAGGGTCTTCCTTAGAGGTCAGTGAGCCTAAGGGGAACCTGGAGGGGTGGGGCTGGCACATCTTGCCATGACATTTCAGTTTGACAAGCACAGATGGGGTAATGATGACTTGAGCCTCCTGAGTATCTCCAGAAGATACCAATTGGTTTTATTTCCCATCTTACTTAGTTATCCTAAATTAATCCCAAAGATGATGATGTTATCCCTAAGTATATTCAAATGCAAATGCTATATTCAGATGAGGACTTAAGGAAATATCATTCTTTATCTGAACTTGGTCATCAAGAGATTTCACAGAGTTTTGGTTTTTACTGGTATTGCCCCTAATGCTCATTGCCATATTCTTTTTCTCCTGGCAAACAGATTCCAGAATGGGAATCAGAATGTACCACTTCACTGCAGTCCCTCCCACTGCCAAGTGAGGCCCACCTGCAGACAGCAGCCATTTCCCTGTGGACAGTTGTGGCAGCAGTTCAGGCTGTAGAGAGAAAGGTGGAGGTGCACAGCCGGCGGCTTCTGCATCTGGAAGGGAGAACAGGGGCAGCCGAGAACAAGCTGAACAACTGTGAAAAAACAGTGGCAGATCTTGGGAACCAGCTGGAGGGAAAATGGGCTGTGTTGGGGACCCTGCTCCAAGAGTATGGGCTGCTGCAGCGGAGGCTAGAAAACATGGAGAACCTGCTGAGAAATAGGAATTTCTGGATCCTCCGGCTTCCCCCAGGTATTAAAGGAGATATCCCAAAGGTAATAACATCACATCTGTAACCACAAGTATAATTAAACCTTGTACTAATAAGGGGTGTTCGTTAATTTTGGTCTGTCAGTTAATTGAACTTTTAAAACTGTTTCAGTGTTTTGTTGTAAAAAAATACTAAACTGAGGGAATTATGAAGTCATTAAAATGTGTTTATCTCACAGATGTTCTCCTGGGGCCTGTGCTAGTGTCCATTTGAGTTTTAGAGTCTCAAATTGGGGAAACCCTTCATAATATTAAGCCTGATTTTGCAGCTGATCTATGGCTTGTCCCTTTCCCCCCCAACTCTGAGTCATTTTGCTATCTATCAGCAGGCTGGGAAAACACAATGGAGAGAAATTACAAGTCAGCCTCTTTGAACTTGACAGTGTTGTTGAATGATTGGATAGGCCACCCCATAGGTCATGGGTTCAGAGTGCAGACTAAGACATATTTTTTTAAATAGGTCTGACTGAAATTTGTTTTGCTTGACTGTATATTATCATTACAAGGGTTTTGTTTTTCTTTCTTTTTAAATTTTCATTAATTGAAACTAAAGAATTAAATAAATAATTTTAAAATGAAAGTTTAACAGGAAAAAGATAAAACCAAACTAAGGAACAGTTGTTTTGAGCCTCTGAAAGTAAATTGTTAGAACACTTCTTCCCCTGGGGAAATTTTTTTTTTTAATTAAATGATTGGGAGAGGGGCAGTTAGCTTAAAAAGACAAAATGAGGTGTTTGTATTAACTGTGAATCTTCATATTTCCCATCAGCATCTTCTTACAAAATAAAAGATGGTAAAGTGGTCCAGTGATAAGAGGTCTGGATTTGGAATCAGTGGCTTTTGAATCTCAGCTCTGCCGCTTGCTACGTGTATAACCTGGAAAAAGTCACTTAACCTCTCTGGGCTTAAGTCTCCTGATCTATAAAATGAGGGAGCTGGACTAGATGATTTCTGAAGTCCCTTCCAACTCTAAATTTGATCTTGTGACCCTAAGAATTCCGCTGTAATGAGTAACGTGCTAGAAATCATGATGCCACTGCACAGAAGGCCACTACTGACAAATCCATCTATGAATAGATCAGTTAATTAACAAGGAAAAAGAAATCTCTGACATTAAGATGTTAGGCCTATATTCTATTTCTTTTTTTTTTTTCAACTTTTTATTTTTTTTTATTTTTGGTGAGGCAGTTGGGATTGAGTGACTTGCCCAGGGTCACACAGTTAGTGAGTGTCAAGTGTCTGGTCTGAGGCCTGATTTGAACTCAGGTCCTCCTGACTGCAAGGCTGGAGCTCTATCCACTGTGCCACCTTGCTGCCCCTTATAATCCATTTCTAAACCATGCGCATTTCCAGGCTCAACAGCACAGTGTACCAGTTCTTTCTCCTAGCAAATTAGGTAGCTATGAAGCCCTTAGTATAAAGATTTCAGTTTTTTTTTTTTTTGGCTGGGCAATGTGGTTAAGTGACTTGCTCAGGGTCACACAGCTAGTAAGTGTTATGTGTCTGAGGGCAGATTTGAACTCGGGTCCTCCTGAATCTAGGGCCGGTGCTCTATCCACTGCGCCACCTAGCTGCCCCTAAAGATTTCAGTTTTAATGGGTGGTGGTAGAGAAGTTCATCTGGAACTAACTTTCTGAGAACCTGAGAGGATGAAATACCTAGTAAATTATATCCAAAGGAGGGTGGGGAGGTGGGGCAGGGTGCATTCAACAGAAATACAGCTAGGGTACCTTTATAGAGAACTTTCTGGGAGTTGTCTAGGAAAGATCAGTCAACTATAATTCTGCCTTGCTTCTGTACCATCAGAGGTGAGTAGGAGGAAAGGACTGGGAGATTTCTTAAGTTCCCATTGCTCCAATCATCTACCAATATCTGATACCTTGTCCCCAGAATACATTAGGGTGATGCAGAAAGAAAAGCACTTAACTCACCAAACATTTATAAAACACTTACTAAGTGGCTACAAAGATAAGAATGACCTTATCAAAATGATTACATTCTTCTGGGGTAATCTGACATGGAATGCAGATAAGTAAATGGAAGGGGATTTGAGAAGAGAGAGCACTGACAGTTGGGGGAATCAGTAAGGACTTTGAGCAGGAGGTGACCTGAGCCAAGCTGGGAAGGAAGGTGAGGATTCCAAGAGGTTGTTCCAGGAATGGAGACGCATCCAATGCAAAGGTGCAGAGAGAGGTGAAATGCTGTCTTTGGGAAATAGCTCGTAGGTGAATTTGGCTGGAATACAGAATGTATAAAGGGGAATAATATGAAATAGATCTAGAAAGATTAAGTTGCACCTAGACAGTGACATTTGGGGAAGGAGGGAAATCAGCCTTTCTTCAGTCAGTTTAACCAGAATAAGGGTTCTAGGACACCTCTCTATATGGTTCTCTGGTTTCCTCTTAATTTTAAGAGCAAAAGTCCCCAGTTAATGACTACCCTTAGATGACCTTTCATATTACCTTTTTTCTGGCTCTGATTTGGAGACCCTACCTGAAGTTTCTTGGGAATAATTCTAATTAGTATTTCCTCTCAAAAAAGTCTAAGAATACTATGAGTTGGTTTTTGCTAATTTGGACATGTATGCAGTCTTTAGTCTTTGTTTGGGTTGACTTTCAGCTAAATCTGTTTTAGATATTAGTTTAAAACTTTTTTACATTTTTTTTAACATGTGAAATTAACTAGGTAGTTAGTAGGTAGTAATTAACTAGTTAGTTTAATGGATACAGTGCTGAATTTGGAATTAGGAAGACCCAAGTTTAAATTCAGCCTCAGTCACTAGCTGTGTAACCCTTGACAAACTTTTGTTTGCCTCAGTTTCTACAACTGTAAAATGATGATAATAATTTGTAAAGCCCTCAGGACAGTGCTTGGTGAATAGTAGACACTTAATAAATACGTATTTCCTTCCTTCCTTTCCTCTTTCTCTGGTTCCCAGTTTCTTCCTTTGTAAAATGAGGGGATTGGCCTCTAAGGTCCTTCCCAGTTCTAAATCTATAAACCTATGAAATCATAGCCTCTTTGACTCTGAGTCCTCCTGGTATGGCTGAGGCAGTAGATCCCAAACTTTTCCTCCTGCTATATCCTGTTAAGTTCCTGAAGTTACCAAAGCATAATATGTCTAGGAGCTTTGGGATAGGGTTTGTAAGCTGCCCATTGTTTAAAGGAGGACAGGCCAATCTGAAAGATTTTAGGATTGATATTAAGATGTACAGGGCTGAAATATGCTACATTAACTAGAGAAAATTTCTTAATATTAAAAAGGTAAATAAACAAGTTAGGAAAAAAATTGACAGCAGTAGAAAACCTTAAATTATAATCATGTCTAAGAAGAAATTATTTGTTTTCATGTTCTTAATAGTGACTGTTAAGAGAAGTAGGAACAGGGGTCCAGAATGGAAGTAATCACTCAAGTATTGTGATTGAGAAGCACTTAATCCTGGGCAATCTTTTTTTTTTTTTAAAGAGCAAATAGTATGCTTTCATCTACATTCAAACTCCATAGTTCTCTGGATGTGGATAGCATTTTCCATCATGAGACTTTTGGTGATGTCTTAGATCCTTGCATTTCTCAGAAGGGCTAAGTCTCTCAAAATTAGTCATCGCACAACATGGCAGTTACCGTGTACAATGTTCTCCTGATTCTGCTCACTTCACTCAGCATCAGTCCATACAAGTCTTCCCAGGTTTTTCTGCAGTTCACTTCCTCATCATTTCTTATAGCACGGTAGTATGCCATTACATTCATACCACAACTTGTTCAGCCATTCCCCAATTGATGGACATCCCTTCACTTTCCAATTCTTTGCCTCCACAGAAGGAGCTGCTATAAGTATTTTTGTACATGTGGGTCCTTGTCGCATTTTTATGATCTCTTTGAGATACAGCCCTAAAAGTGCAATTGCTGGGTCAAAGGGTATGCACATTTTTATAGCCCTTTGGACTATAAAATTCCAAATTGCTCTCCAAAGTGGTTGGATCATTTCACAACTCCACCACCAATGTATTAGTGTTCCAATTTTCCCACATCTTCTCCAACATTTATCATTTTCCTGTATCATGTTGGCCAATCTGATAGGTATAATGTGGTACCTCAGAGTTGTTTTGATTTGTATTTCTCTAATCAATAATGATTTAGAGCATTTTTTCATATGACTGTAGATGGCTTTAATTTCTTCATCTGAAAACTGCCTGTTTTGTATCCTTTGACCATTTATCAATTGGGGGATGACTTGTATTCTTACAAATTTGACTTAATTCTCTATATATTTTAGAAATGAGGCCCATGGGCAATCTTTTTGTTGGATACCAGTAACCCAGTCTGGATTCAGGGACCATTATGCCCAGTAATGAAATGTGTTAGATGCAAAAGGAAAACTGTGGTGTGAATTTAGAGGTAAAAAGGGAAGATTTGAAAAGAATATGTTTGACTCTGATAATGTAATGGAGGAGAGAATGGAAAAGAAGATTTATAAGCCTGTGCAGAACCCAGCCATGAACCAGGATTTGAACCTAGGTTTTCTGACCTCAAATCCATTTCTTTTTCCATTATGCCTTGGGGAGAAAGGAGGGAACTCTAGAAATGAAACCATAGTATCTGTAAAGTAGTAGGTAATGGGAATATTTGCTGTGTATGCACAGGACAGTGGGGAGACTAGTCTTATAAAAAGCATTTTGTTATTCATTTCATTTTTACAGACATTTATTTTAAGTACCTACTATGTGTGAACACTGTGACTACGTTGTAGAAATACAAAGACAAATGAAATAGTAGCTGCCCTCAAGGGATTTATATTCTATTGGAGGACACTACTTATATTTCATTATTTCAGCACATTCTGATCTTATCAATTTGGGTACTCTCTCCAGCAGTGCAAGTTGCCACCCAAACACACCTTAAGAACTGTATACCTCTGCAATTGGCATTCTTCCATTTATCTTCCCTAAAGAATCCCCCAGTGCACTAGGGAGAGGCAGTTTAACATGGTACAGGTACAGTGCAACT